AAAGAAACTGAAAATACCCCCTTGATAAAAGGATACATTTGTTATGCTTATAAAGGATTCAAAACGAAACAGCTTCTTTTGTAATAGTTCTACAGAAAGAGAGCTAACATGTACTATTTCATCAACTCTGTTTGAAAGGAGGAGGAGGGAGAGGGGAAAATATACAAATCTAGAGCATTGAACAAAGATGCAATGTGAAGAAGGTGTAGGAGCTGCTGACAATCATTAAATCTGCAAAGGAAACCTGGTACACTGGGTGTTAATTACAGTAATTCAAGATGTTTCTGGTAATACAGTGGCTTCTTTTTCTTCTGGCCTGTACAATTAACGACTCAGGTTTTCTGTTATGAATCCTTAAATTGTCCTGCTGTCTTACGAATAAAAGAGAAATGCCTAGGAGACAGCAGCAAAGTCTGCTTTTCCAAACTTCTTTAAATCTCTTCTCTCTGCCCTAGAGATGTTGCATTTTCCATGAGCTATCTTAGGGTATGTCTACACTGGCAGAGTTATAGCACCAGCAGTTACAGTGCCGCTCAGCAAGCGCTGAAGAGAAACCACTGTTGTGTGTTCACACTGTCAGCTGCCTGCGCAATAGTGTGTTCACACTTGTGGCACTTGCAGTGGTATTCGGAGTGGTGCACTCTGGGCAGCTATCCCACAGAGCATCTCTTCCTCTTCTGCTGCTAAGAGTTGTAGGAAGGCAGAGGGGGTTGTGGGGCATCCTGGGTCCTGTCCCAATGCCCCATGATGCATTGCAGCAATCCCTGTGCTTCCATCCCTGTGCATTTGGCGCCATCATTCAATGGTTTGTGTACTGCGTGCTCTGCCTCTTCGGTCTGGAGGAATGGAACCCCAACTGTTGACAAGTATGCTGCTCGCTCTGATTAACACATCACGAGTGGCAGTGGAGTTATTGCTTAAACTAAAAGGCAAGAGGAGCGCGACATTGATTTCGCCATGCATAGTAGCTATGACACAAGATTGCTTGTGGCATTCATGGAGGTGCTGACCACAGTGGAACACCGCTTTTGGGCTCGGGAAACAGGCACTAAGCAGTGGGATCACATAGTGATGCACATCTGGGATGACGAACGGTGGCTGCAGAACTTTCGGATGAGGAAAGCCACATCCTTTGGACTGTGTGATGAGCTCGCTTCAGCCCTGCGGCGCAAAGACATGAGAATGAGAGCTGCCCTGCCATTGGAGAAGTGTGTGGCGATTGCACTGTGGAAGCTGGCTACTCCAGACTGCTACCAATCAGTTGCTAACCAGTTCGGAGAGGGAAAGTTGACTGTTGGACTCGTGTTGTTGGAAGTGTACAGGGCCATTAATTGCATCCTGCTCCAAAAGACCGTGACTCTGGGCAACGTGTGTGACATTGTGGATGGCTTTGCACAAATGGGCTTCCCTAACTGCGGAGGGGCAATAGATGGCACGCATATTCCAATTCTGGCAACAGACCACCTAGCCACCGAGTACATTAATCAGAAGGGGTATTTCTCTATGGTTCTCAGAGCGCATGTGGATCACTGTGGGCATTTCACAGACATTAATGCAGGCTGATCCGGAAAGGTGCAAGGTACACGCATCTTTCGAAACACTGGCCTGTTTAGGAACCTACAAGTAGGGACTTTCTTCCTGGACCAGAAGATCACTGTAGGGGAAGTCGAAATGCCCATTGTGATCCTGGGAGACCCCACCTACACCTTAATGCCGTGGCTTTTGAAGCCATACACGGGGCACCTTGACAGCAGCAAGGAGCGGTTCAACAATGACTGAGCAAGTGCAGAATGACTGTTGAGTCTACTTTTGGCCATTTAAAGGCCCGCTGGCACTGCCTATGTGGGAAGCTGGACCTGGCCAATGACAATATTCCTATGCTTATAACCACGTGCTGTACACTCCATAATATTTGTGAAGGGAAGGGTGAAAGCTTCACTCAGGGCTGGACTGCTGAGGCTCAGTGCCTGGAAGCTGAATTTGAACAGCTAGAGACCAGGGCTATTAGAGGGTCACACCGTGGGGCCATAAGGATCAGGGATGCCTTGAGGCAGTAATTTGAAGCTGAAAGCCACTAATATTAGTTGATATGCTCGAGAGTGCAGTGCTTGTAATGCTAGGAGGTGATTGTGATTGGTGCAGATGATGCAATATGAAGGTTTAAGATAATTGCTGTTGCTTTGCAGGGCTCTGTTTGCTTTCAGTTAATAGCATAAAGATTGCTTTCAAACCAACACAATTATTTTATTAAAAACAACAACCGGAGGAGAGAGACAAACAAAAAAACACATCAGCACTGAGGGGGTTGGGGGAAGGGAAGGTCCCAAGAGGAGGTGGGGTCCCAGGACTGTTAAAGATTTGTGTATGTCCAGGGATCATATCCAACCTTCTCCTTTGGAGTACAGTGCAGTGAGTACTGTACTTCAACAAGGCTAAACTGCAGAGGGACGCGTGTTGAGTGCAGTGGGTAGTGGGAGTCCACAGTGCTGGACTGTGATGGGGGAGGAGTGGAATGCCGTGGGTACAGACTGGAGCCAGGAGGTTGATAAGAGTGTGTTGGCGGTGTCTAAGGGGCGTATAGGAAAGAGTTATGCGACAGCGGCTGCAGGGGTGGTCAGGCACGGAGCTGCTTGGTTGGCAGTGCTCATATCGCCTGGAGCATGTCCACTTGGTGCTCCAGAACGTGTGAGAGCTGCTCCGTGGCTTCATTCTGGTGCACCATGTTCTCCTTTCGGTCCCTCTTCTCGCTCTCCCTCCACACCTACATTTCCTGTTTCTCGGCGGTGGAGTGCATCATAACCTCACGCAGAAAGTCCTCCTTAGTTCTTCATGGCTGCTTTCTAATTCTGTGCAGCCGTTCAGCCGCCGATAACAAAGAGGGAGGCTGGGCTCCCAAGGTCATCTCTGTGAAGCCAAAATGCAACATTTTACAGAGCAGTATTGTTTGCAACACACAGAACACTGATTCAGTGATTTAAAACACAGCCACTATTCACATACCTGTCACTAACTGGTTGACCCCAAGCAAGCACACATGAGCCACAAGACCCCCAAAATGGTGAGTAGCCGCAGGGGCGGGGTAAATCACTCTTCATGGACCCTACTGTACACTGGGCATGTGGCCCTTAGGGAGAGCCAGCACTGTAGGAGGGGCCTGATAATCATTTCTGTCCCCACATTTTCCACAGGCTGTGATCATTATGGAAGATATCTCACTGCTGAGGGTGAGCAGGGAATCAAGGGAAGGTCTTCTCCAAGACTGCGGCTTGTGCCCTGGCCCTTATGCAGCTTGCCTGTGTTGTGCAATGGTGCCCCCACCCCGTGACGGCACAGTGGTGTGGGAAAGTTGCCATTAATGGGGCAAGAAACAAAGCAGCTCTGCCAAAGAACCTGCGGCAGGGGATTGCCCAGTATCTCCATGAGTTTCCTGGAGATCTCTGAGGGAGAGTCCCGTGAAGTGAGGGAGTCAATCAACAGCCTGTTCCACCACTCAGACTAGGCATGTGGTGGTACGCACATCATACAGACACAAGCCTGCTTTCTGCAACTCTCCTGCCCCCAACAACTCACTTCAGCAATTCCCAAAATCAAATCCACTTACCAGGGGCCCCTTCTCCTGTTTGTGTTCACCAAGGTCCTACAGCTGTGACTGGCTAGCTTCCTCCGGGGTAGAAAAGAGCTCCTGGCTGCATGCATCTCTGACCTCCGAGTTGTCCTCTGCCTCTGGGTCCCACTCCCCCTCCACATACTCGTCCAAGATTTCCTCCTCCTGGCTCAGTCCACTCTCGACTGACATAAGCCATCGAAGTATCCACAGTGGCCTTCGCAGTGGAGGTGGGGTCGCCACCGAGTATTGCATCCAACTCTTTGTAGAACCGTCAGCTCGTGGGCGCAGCACCGGAGTGGCGGTTTGCCTCCCGTGCCTTGTGGTAGGCGTTCTGCAGCTCCTTCACTTTTACCCTACACTTCAATGTGTCCCGGTCATGGCCCCTTTCTGTCATGCATCGTGAAATCTGTCCGTATGTATCATAATTCCTATGGCTGGAGCGCAGCTGGGACTGGAAAGCCTCCTCTCCCCAAATGCTGATGAAGTCCAGCAGCGTGGCATTGCTCCAAGCGGGGATTGCCTGGGGCATGGGGCAGGCATGGCCACCTGGAAAGATGCGCTGAGACCACTGCATGCATCACTGAGCAAACAGGCAGGGGATTTTCAAAATTCCAAAGGAATTTATGGGGTGGGAATGATGGTTGGTCACCTGAGGGCAGGGCAGTAGAGTTCAAACTGATGACCAGAGAGGCAAGAGCAGGCATTGTGGGACACCTCCTGGAGGCCAATTGCAGCGCTGTAATCGCGTCGGGTGTCTACACTGGCACCACAGTGCTGTAGCCCCGGCGCAGAAAGCTCTACGCCTCTCGTTGGGGTAGGTTTTTTACAGCGCTGCAACTGCGCAGTTTCTGCACACTAAGTGGCTTGGCAGAGTGTATAGCTGGGGAGTTACAGCGCAGAAAGCTGCTTCACTGTGCAGAACCTTGCCAGTGTAGACAAGGCCTTAGAAGCAGCAACACCAATCTGCTGGAAACTTTGTATTCACTGTTACTATAATACACTAAGCCCTCCAGTTCCCCCCCACCCCCACCCCCAATGGCTGGAGAGACGTTAACAGGCTATTTCACCTTGAATGGTCTCTTGAAATATGTGCTAAACAATTTCTTCCACCTTACATTTAGCTGTGACACTTGAGGACCTTTCCCAGATCTAAAGAAGAACTGTGTAATCTTGAAAGCTTCTGTCTCACCAACAGAAGTTGGTCCAATAAAAGTTATTACCTCACCCACCTTGTCTCTCTAATATTTATTACTACTAACTTATAAAATGATTAGATTGATTCTGAATTGCGGACGAGCCTACTGTATTTGTTCCATAATAATTGAAATCCATAGCTTCAGCGTTTAGGGACCCAATCCACAAACACTTATAACTGAGCACAATACTTATGACGATGAGTAGTCCCTTACTGGGTGTAGTATTATTGACTCTTCACAGTAACAAGTATGACACTCAATGCAGTAAGTGTTTGCAGAATCAAGCCTTATGCCCTTGTTCCTATCACAGGAATAAAGTAATAAATAGTAAATGTGTTTAAACTATTTTTTAAAATCTATTTTTTTTATTATTATTCCACTATTTTCACTTGTTGCCTCCCACATCTTGACTTATTGAGTTTTGAGGATTTCCCCATATTCCAGACTTTAGCTTCTGCCTGAGACCTACATCTATCCCTTTGAGGTCTGACAACCCAAAACAGTCCATCCTTCCAAAGATTAAGCTTTCTCCCTCTGCATGGTTCTCACCCTAGGGATCTACAATTACTTGAAACTCAGTCTCTCAACTGGCAGCACCTAGGAATCATTCTCAGGCTTTGTCTTCACTGCCAAAAAGGGTGTGTTTTTACCATGGCATAATTAGGGTGTTTTAGCTTTCCCAGTGCATAGTCTTGTGGCGGTAAAGAACTGCAGTTTTACTGTGAGATGAACTGGGCAAGGTCAGCCACAGGTGGGGTATACTGTTGACCTCACCTAGCTACCTCACACTAAAACTGCAGTGATTTGTCTCCACAAGGATTTTACAGCATAATAGCTAATGCCTATTAATTACCCTGCTGTAAAACCCCACTACCATCTTTTATGCAGTGAAGGCATAACCTAAGGCGAAGCTAAAGTCAAAGGTGGCCTGAGGAACAAAATGTACAGTATATCTGACCTTTCCCAGAGTTCATAGGCCCTTGCATTAAGGGATTTGGTTCTAGCCCATCTCTGCCTAAAATATATGAACAAAAAATTATATTCAACTCAAACTAATAATTAAAATATGTGATAGGTTAACCATAAATCCGCCGCATTTTTGAAACAATACAGTAATGAAATAGCATAGCAGAACTACTTTATTGTTTAGTTGGGGGGGGGTAATTATTTCTTCTTGCAGATGCTGTCTTGTGTGCTAGGTTGTTAGATGGGCAATTGCACAGAAATATAAATGATTGTAGGAGATTTGTGTGAGTGAAAACCCATTTGAAAATTTGTCTTTAGTGGACTGGAGTTCACAAGTGTATGCAACGGTGTATGTCTAGATCATGCTTTTATCACCCAGTCTTGCACTAGGGAAGCTAGAGAGCTATTGTGTCCCAAGAGCTACTGAGTCCTTCCCCAAATGCCTTAGGCTATGTCTACACTACAGAATTAGGTCGGATTTATAGAAGCCGGTTTTATAGAAACCGGTTGTATGCAGCCGATTGTGTGTGTCCTCACCTAAAATGCTCTAAGTGCATGAAGTCGGCGGACCGCGTCCACAGTACCGAGGCTAGCGTCGACTTCCGGCGCATTGCACTATGGTACCTATCCCACAGTTCCCGGAGCCTCCGGCGCCCATTGGAATTATGGGTTGAGATCGCAATGCCCGGATGATGCAAAGCAGTGCCGCGAG